CAGACTCGAGACCGCGGCGCTGGGATCCCGTTATGCGATCGTCGAGCCAGGAGAGAAATGTTGGATCTGCTCGCTTCCGGTACTTAGCAGACAGTTCTTTGTGTTCCCATGCCAGCATGCTTTCCACAGCGACTGTCTGGGCAAGAAAGTAATGGACGCAGCGGGGACGGGGAAGAAGAAGCATATCCGGGATTTACAGGCTGAAATGAGTAAGGGGACTAGCATTGGCGCTAAGAGGGAGAAGATCATTAGGGAGTTGGATGGTTTGATTGCCGAAGCCTGGTGAGTTTCTTCCCCCTCCCGCTATTAGTTGGTGATCTGTTCTAATGGTGTGTGTGCGTGTGTGATTTGACTACAGTATCCTATGCGGCGAGTATGCCATCAAGCAACTTGACGAGCCCTTTATCAGCTCGTCAGATAACAAGAACGAATGGTCTATCTGAGCCAGACCCTGGCCCATGACCATGCCCATGAGCATGAATATATAATAATATGAATGTATATGTATACATAAAACCCCAGTCCATTCCCAACACCTACCTTAGTTTACCTGGTTTAGAATTGAAACTTCACATCTTCAACGCCCAGCCGTCAGCCAACCACCCCAACCTTCGTAGGGAGTACAAGACAAGACAAGACCCTTTTTAAGAGTAGACTCTATGCTAGACTTCATAACTCACTTTCGGAACCTTAACAGTCTTGACCCGAGCAAACTTTGCGACGAGTTAGAAGTAAACAACCAAAAAAAGGCTTCTGGACAAGCAGGCTGAATTAAGTCTTGTTCTTGTCCACTTTTTTATGGCGTTGACGCCGTTTCACAGGTTGCTCGGTTGATGGCTGCATGCATGCAGTATGCACGGAGGAATGCGGGGGAGGCGAATACTACCAGGCTAGGCAGTTACTGAAGGAAGTAGATGCAGAGAAGCAGAAGAAGAAGAAGCAGACGCAGAGCCAGAGCCAGAGCCAGAGCCAGAGGCGAAGAAGAGAGGGCACCGGACATACGCATTGATGGAAGGATCTCGATGTCCGGACTTGACTCGGGATGCCAGTGTTTTTGCAGGTTTGATGCCTGAGCATGACAAAAGTCCGCCCTATCTCGGCCTCTGCTTTGAGCAGCATCGAAGTCGTGCCCCGTACATAGGTGATCTCAAGTCATGCTCCGTACATAGGGTATCAGGTCTCAGGGTTTCAGGGGGTCTCCCACGGGTATCGACGCCAGCCACAGTCGGTAGAGAGCACTAACCACATCACTAGCAGCGCAGAGCAGAGGCAGAGTGGCTGGCAGACGGAAGGGTCTCTCCCCATTCTGGTAGGGCCTGGCACGCCACGGCTCATGGCCGCCCGTCTCTATGGAGTAAACTAACGAATTAGTTTACTCTCTTAATGCCTAGCATATGGAACTATATCGGCTTTAGGTCGGGTCGTTATAGCCACCACGCCCAGGACAAAGAAGTCAGTCTCCTTTATCCTCTGTTCCCCCGCTCAGCCAGCGACGCCGAGTTACGGCTTCAAGCGCCTACCAAGCCTCTGACGTAAAGTACTGTACCGTACCTCGCTGCTTGACCACCAGCCGCTGGCTCGCCGGCGCCAAACAGAAAGGGGGCGGCGGCGATCAAGGTTGGATGAATTAGAAGCACCGATAGAACGCAATAACCAGTTAGTGAAGACATAAAATAACTAGTCCAGTCTGTGTGCTTCCCGTATAAAAACTGGATACAGAACAAGAAGCCATCATCGAAGATAAAAGCAGGGGTATCACGCGGGCGCCTTTTTTCGTCTCGTGTCCAGTTCTTTGCTTTTTCCGGTCAAGAAGGTCGAAGCTGTTTGATGCTGAAGTTGGAGGTTGCAGGTCGGAGTTTGATATCTTCGTCGTCTTCTTCGATGTCTCGAGACTCCGTGCATGATTGATCGTCAATCCCCATCGGCGGAAAGGGAAGAGAGACAATCAGAAACAAGCTGACGCCATCATCGCCATGGTTCAGGGTCTGCAGGTGGACAGACAGGTGGTAAGTGTGGACGGTAGTGGATAAGACGATGGGCTGATGGGCTAAGGGCGAGTTACAGGGGGATGAGAGAGAGAAATCCGGGGTAAAAAAACAAAACACACGCCGTATCATCATCGCCAGGCGCCTGGATGATCCTGACGAAGCCGTTTCTTGACTTGAACCTTGTCTATTCTCCTCGTTCTTCTTCTATTTAACTATGTTTTTGGACGGAGCAGTGACGTACCATGAAGCAAAGGAGGGAGGAAGCAGAAAAGAAGATGAGAAGCGAGCGGTTCACGAGGTAGCTGCTTGTACTCCGTATCTCGCTCGTACAGCAACCAGCAACCAGCACCAGCAACGTCGGACAGCGTCAATTAATGAATGAGCGAGACCGAGAAGGAAGAAGAAGGAAAGAAGAGAGACAAAGGGTCATCTCGTCACCTTCGTCATCGGTCATCGTCGTACATGATGAATAGTCGCAAGCAGCGAGACAGACACATCGCCAGCCACTGCTCACTAACTAACCAGCCAGTCAAGCCGCTACTGCAACTAGAAAGTCACTAAGCCAGCGGCATCTGTACTCGCACCTAGAGAGGTCACTGCAGACGACGAGGAGAGATAGAGCGTCAAGCTGGCTTACTTGAGATGCTCGAGTCTGAGCGATATAACTACGGAGCAATAATATGATGACTACTCTATGCCTGACTGACGTTATTAATTGCGCCGACATGAAACGGACCAAAACGCAAGGCCGTGAACGCGTACGGGACAGAAAGGGATGGAATGGAACAAGAGTTTCTCACTCATCCTCTCGCCAATCAGTCTGCAGAAGAAGAGACGGAATTGAAATTGTTGGCAGGGTCCGTTCGAGAGGTTGAGAGTGTACTTTACCGCTGGTACAACAAGTACCTCGTCTCATACCTGGACCGAGCATGAAGTATGTAACTCGGGTACCTTTTCTGGACGAGTCGGAGAAGAGCAGGTCCTGTTCCGGCGGCACGGCGAGCGCATGGATAAGATCATTTACTTTAACATTCATTACCTTAAGAGGAAAAGGAGATGAGGTTGACGTGGCGTCCGTCTCACGATGGACAATGAGAGCAATGATAGTAAGAGAGTGATGAGTAGTTCACTGGAGGTTGGAGTAGCACAGCCAGGCCAGCCAGATGATGAGAACGAGAAAGCAGATAAAAACCTGTCTTTCCCTCGCACAGTCGAAGAAGAAGAGAGAGACGAAAAAAGAAGAAGAGAAGTTGTAGATGGACGGCCTGAAGTCGAATTCCCAACCACCCTTTCTTGCTGCCGTTCAGTCTCTCTCTCCCCTATTAGGATCATTCTCTGCACGAAGCGGAAGACCAGATGAGGCGGTGAAGTATGCAATCTGCATCCATCTGCATATATTATTTCTTTTCTTTTTCATCTCTTTTCGTCCCTTTTCTCTCCGTCCTGCTCGATCTGCTTGAATGGATGTGCATAACATTGACGGAGACTCCGCTGATGTGCGTTGGTTACTTATGCTATGCTGTGCCATCCGGGCATCAACAATCACAAAACGGAGTAAACAACAATCCATCGTCATCAAGTATGAAAATCTTCGTCAGGCGGATGAGGACAGATAGGCTGGTAGAGCCTACGTATACTCTTCTGCTCCAGGTGCCCCAAGCTCTCCAGTCGGTCTCCATCAGTAACCCGTACCCCAGTCCCCTGGATAGGTTACTAAGTACGGAGTATATGAATGAATGAATGAATGTTCTGGAGATCGCTTGGACCCGACCACTCAGGAGAACCCAGCCCTTTCAGAAAAGAAAGGAATAAGGAAAAAGGAAAGGGAGAGGAAAAAAAGCAACGATGAAGCACAAGAAGGCCCTTCCGTGGTTCGGGCCTTGCTGGCGTCATGTCGCCCCCAGAAGAGGACATGCATGCAACTCTGGCACTCACTCTACCTCTGAAAAAAAGTAAAAGCTAAAGGCCTGCATGGGGTGGCCTGTCTGTCCGTCCCTTTTTTGCTTCTTCCTCTGCTTTCTCGAGGGGGGGTGTGGTAGTGGTAGTGATGATGGTGATGGTGGGTGGTCTTGGTCGACAGGGATGATGCATGCATGTCGTTCTTGTCGAACCTCCCACGCCTCGAGCAAGTAACCCAGCCCAGCCCAACCTAACCATTTCCTCTCATCCTCATCTTGGGCTCAGACTGCGAGTTTGTTCTTCCTTTGCTCTGGCATCCCTTCCCAACTAAACATTCCGTATGCCTTTCCCGTTGGGATAGAACCTTTGGTTCCCAAACATGGAGAACGAAACGGGTGGACACGACACACGGTGGTTTCAACTCCGCTTGCCTGGGCTGGACTCTTTGGCTTGGTCGGCTGGTCGGTCGGCCGGGCGGTTAGTTAGGTGTACAATTGTGTACATCAGTGGGCGAGCGGGGAGAACAAAAGGGCGAAGATCATGTCATGCCATCTCCTGAGATGAGTTACTGTGACGGTGTTTTAATAATAATGGGGGTGGTCTTAGTCCCTTCCGTCAACAACGCAACTGAGATTTGATGATGACGACGGAGGTAGTGGTGTGTCCCTTTCCCAACCAACCAACCACTTCCCTAGTCACCCGGCAAGTATAGTAGCAAATAAGTATACTCACCTCACTCATGCAGGGGGGCCTCGCATGCTGGTGTTAGGCGAAAGTAGAGTTCGAGAGAGACCTTTTTTTGTCTTTTTCTTCTTTTTCCCTTGCTGCATATTTTTTATCTTTATCGTCTCGACAGTTCCATGCCTGCTCTCGGCTGTGCAGTGGCAATACTGCGAATGAACTCGAGCAGGTAACTGTTAGCAGGCAGAGCAAGTACCAGACGCGCAGCCAGCGAGCAGTACAGAGTAACGAGGCATCTACCTCCCTCTCTATCACGTCTTCCTCGTCATCCGTAGCACCATCACCATCATCGCTGCCATCGTCTTGTCTTCTTCTCCTCGTCGCTGTGGATATATCTTGCTCTATCGTCCGTACTTTTCTTCAACTTCTGACTCTGACTTCTTGTGCCTGACATGAGGAAGTACCTTGTTCGCTTAGCTAAGACAACTCTCCCTTACACCCACGCCAACCCTCTTGCTGCCACGCCCTAACTACCTGCGAGTACCTCTTCTGCCGCCTCTCCGCTCTAACTGCCAGAAGTACCGTCTTGTCACCCCCTTGCCGCCCGTCCCCGTCCTCACCGCCCTCTGTCCCCTCTTCTTTCCACGGCCCTTCGTTGCTTCTTCCCACCCCCTTTGCTTTTTCCCTGCTTAGTCACCCTCACCCTTCCCTCCTTTCTCCGATCTTCCTCTTTCTTCCTCTTCTTTCTTCTTCTTCTTCTTCTTCTCGTCGTCTCCTGCTTTGCTTCTTCAACCTCTCGACTTCACCTCTTCGACTTCATCTCTTCTTCTTCTTCTTCTTCCTCGTCCGCCTTCACCACCACCATCCGCCGCCGACTCTTCTTCCTTCTCGCCGTCCTTTCTCATCTCGACCTCGACCTTACTCGCCTTCGCCTCCGACTTCGCCGCTCGACTCCTGCTACTACCACCAACTACTACTATATAGCTTACCGTTGACTGGCGTTGACTCACCTCGACCACCAACCAAACCCCACTGAGAGACCACGCTCGAGATAGCAAGACATACAGACAAAGAACAAGTGTCTGCTCTGCTTGCCATTCTCATCATAGCATGACTGTCTCTCGTCGTCGTCTCTGAGTCACCGTCAAGTCAGCTACCGCAGGAGACTGACCACCTATCACCACCTCTTACTTGCCAACTAGCAACATCTCGACCGTCCAGCCAAAAACCTCGAGAACCCAGTTGCACACACAGACAGCCTGAAGCTTGCCTTGCTTTGACCGGCCTTTGTCAAGCTCACGCTGCTCTCTCATTCATATACGTCGACCTGTCTGCCACGTTGATCGACTCCGGGGAAGCTGCCGTTTATTATCGCTGAATTTTGTGACTCGTCATCAAGGTTGAGCCTGCTACTGCTCCTTGCTCCTCCTTCACACACGACCTGACCTCTCCGCTATACTACTGCCCGCTAGACTCTCCGTCTCTTCTGCAGGCACGCCTTGGTCTCACAGTCACTCTATTCAAGCGATAATACTCGTCTCGCCTCCTTTCTTTTCTCGTCTTTCCCTCTTATCCTCACGACCTTGCAACGAAGCGCTTAATTCTTTTTTTTTTTCCTTCTTTCGACTTTCATATCGGCATCTTTCCTTTACTCTCTTTTCTTTTTCGTTTTCTTCTGGCAAAACAACCACCAACCGACTCATTTAAACCGACAATAAACGAACAGCTTTCGTTTTTATACCTCGGACACAACGTTCAAATGCAGTCATAACGATCACTACCAGCTCTCCTTTCTCTTTTCGTTCAACCAGCATCACCAAACAAGGTGCTTTGGGTGCAATCTCAGCTTTTTTTTTTATCCGGACCACGGACGGCGAAACGAATCTCCTTGGCGTTTCTCACCATTTACAACCTTTCACTTTATTACGGTCTGCCTCTCTCAATCAACATTT